CGAAAGGAGGGGGAGGGGGGGGGGGGGAACTTAGGGTAGTCCAGCAGCGACACGTCTACGTCTGCTCTTCCGTCGTTGCTCTGATATGTTGCGAGTCGTCAATGCGTTTGCTTCCACTCCTCCACGACATTGTTTAAGTACGTTTATACACATCGAATAGAGGAGGATCGATGCTCGCCAACGCGACGGACCGTCCAGCCGGAAGGACGCCAACGACGGGAGAGGCGTGGGCGTTCGTTGGCGGCGGCGGCGACGTATACAAAGTAGGTAGAAAAGTGATAAAAATTCGTGTATATATTTTTTTCCTCATCGTTTCCTTTTGTGCACGCTTGCGAGAAATAGACGAATGCGCCGACCCCGAAGACCCGCCGCGCCCTCGACCGTCGCGACCCCGAGTCCTGAAACGACGGCGGAGCTGTTCGCCGCCTGGCCGTCGCCCCCTGAATCCCCGGTGGCCAGGACTCGGGCTTCGTAGTCCTCCGGCCGGACGGTCCGTGAATCAGCACGATCCTGAATTGCTTGGACTTCCGGTAGCAAGAACAGCTGTTAACGTCGTGTTAAAGTAACGATAGCAGTTAAGAATAGTAGTTAACGACAGTCCGGGGCTGCTCGCCCTCTGGACACACCGTGGAGTCACGCGCTCTCGCCCTCTTGAGACCCTCTCGTATCTCAGAGTTAGCCTCTTTTCTCATTCGAACGTCCGGTCACACGGTCGCAAGCGTACGAAACCTTGGGAACGTTGTCGCGGAGGGTGCACCGGTTCGCACAAGGTCGAACCAAGGTGGCGACCCTCGCCGAGAACCGTTCGAGGACACACGCAGAGAAGATAGTAAAAGCTACGGTGGTACGTATAGAGCTAGGGAAACTGAACGGTGTGTTTTCTTGTTTGTTTGTTTGTCTGTTCGTTTGCCTGTTTGCCTGTTTTTGCTTGCTGCTGTTCGTCTGTTTGCTTGTGTTTACGTGTGTGCTTGTTTCTGTGTACGTAACCGCACGGGCCAGCCTCGAGAGAGAGAGTGTGTGTGAATTGTTCTACGCGTTGATAGCCGCCCTAGGCTAGGCTCAGAAGGCGATTTAGAACGGCAGACTACCGATGAACAACTTCTGAATCAGCGGCGGCGCCGGGACCAGGTCCAACAGCTTCAGGTAGAAGATATGTTGAAGCCCCTGCACCGACAGGCTCCTCAGCTCGGGCAACTTGTTTAATAGCCGCGGCAGGTAGTTCGGCTTCTTCTGCGCGTCCGAATTGTAGGTGACGTGGTCCCGCAGGGTCGAAATGATCTTCATTTGGAGCTGCTCTATGCGGAGAGGCTCCTTCAGGCCGTACCTTTCTGCGAATACAAAAACACACGCGGTTCAGAAGGATCCTCCGATGTTTGGGACAAGCGACTATCGATTAGAAGGCAGCTTCATTGCATCGTTTTCGAAACTATGTACAGTAATGTCTCCATGATTGACGCTCAGATTGTGCACAATACATATATATATACAAGATATATACAATAATGTATATACAGCGTATGCTGTGCACAGTAATCTTGTAGCGTATGTATAACATTTACAAAACATCGATCTACACTGGCACCCTAATCTATCAGAAAATCCATCCTACTAGTCTCAGTAACTGGTCCAAAATTTTGCTATCCACCTAGGGGGACCAGTTACTGAGACTAGTGGGATGGATTTCCAGATGACAAAAATCCCGAAAATGAATTCTACTAGTCTCAGTAACTGGACCAAAAATTTTGCTTGGACCAGTTACTGAGACTAGTGGAATTCATTTTCGGGACAGATCGGAATGGATTTCCTGATAGATTGGGGTGCCATTGTAGATGGATTGTCCACAAAAATGGACAATTTTGAAATTTTATTGGGGATTATTCGAGCCTTGCGATTTGTTTTTATAGTAACGAATTGTCAATAACTATAAAAGCGAGGTGCAAGGCTTGAATAATCGTACCTCCTCTTCCCAAATTGTCCATTTTTGTGCACAATCTGAGCGTCAATTAGGGAGACATTACTGTAAACAGATTAAAAGTGTTCAAGAATGTCAATGTATCGGTTCCAGCTTATTAAAATCATTGAGGGAGTAAAGAAGTTACTAAATGGCTCCAGATTCTTGTAATTGAAGCGAGCTATTTTTATTTTGCACAAAGATCCGCAGTCTAGTAATAAACCCTGCATTGCCTCACAAAAGCGAGAAGATCGCGAATTCATTTAGACTCTATAACGTTCTTATTATAAAACTTTGGAATTTTGATCGCGGTAAGATAGTGGAGCCGGTTGCTCTGAGAAAATCTCAGACTTTTCTATTCTTTTATTTCGTTTATATTTAAATTAAAAAAATTTAACACGTCTTATTCGATAAATATAAAGTTATGAAACTGAAGTTAAATAAGAAAACAAACTAATCTACTATGTGTAATCGCTCGCTTCACGGTAACCGGCTTCGCCGTATACTACCTTCGCGAATTCTGCAAAGGGCGAAGGTCCTTTGATAAAACCGAGTCAGCCGTTTCGCGAAACCCGATCCGCGATATCGAACGCAGATTAATCGCGCCTCTCCTTTCGGGTTCTTTCGCTAGGAGCGTCGGTTTCCAATCATAACAGTGCCCGGTCGTTTCGTAAAATGTTCTCCGGAACATTGGCGGTCGTGGCGTGGGTTCGCGAGGAAATCCGAATCGGTCCTCGGGGATCGATGTTGCGTGCAATCCGCGGGCCGAAAAGCCGCACGCACGTGAACGCGCGCTTGCGGAAAATCACTGTAAGACGTATCGCGTGCAAGCAATAAGCGACGCCGGTTCCTTTCGTCGTCGCATCAATAGCTAACCAGCCGATGGATAATTAATTTGTCTCGCAGACGGACGGCCGTAATGAACACTCCTCCAGCTCCCGACCGATGGAAAATGGAAACGGATCCCGATCGGTCGGTATCCACTTTATTATAAATCGCGTTCGATCCCGAACGTAAACGGTCGTTTGTTCATTCAACGGTGGCGGGATCATGAATTCTAAAACCGCGCGACGAGGAGCCGTTCGCTGGAACGACGACGGAGACTCGTTTCGATCGGGGAAGGCTTACCGGTAACGAGGGTGAGCGCGCAGAGACAGGCGAAAGCGCTGGTGTCCACGTCGAGCACGTGGAGGGCATTCGAGAACTCGAGGATGCTGTGCAGCCAGTCGTCGAAGATGCGCTGGCACTGGCCGATCGCTAGGACGACGCCGTTGCAGAATGTCAGCTGAGCAGGATCCGGTTCGGTGCGGTGTGCCAGTCGTAGGACGAAGAGTTCGAGGCTGGCCGATTGGAACAGCAGCTCCTGCAACGCGCAGGAAAGAACCGCGAATTAATCCCACGGGCCCGTTAATTTCTTACGAACGGAGAGAACATCGGGCGGACGAGTGTCGAGAAGGACGTTCCTCTCATCGGCGGCTCGATGCAACTGGCAGACAACCGGCCAATCGGACAGTCGATTAAACATGTCGTAAACTCGTCAGGCCTGACCTTTTATAAAATGTACAAGCTATCGATTTCTTTAACGAAAGCCCCACCCTCCCACGGATAATACCCGTCGATCGATACTTAATAAGAAACAGAAACGGTGCTTTTTGTGCTTTTCAGCCGAACGAACGATCGCGTACCTGGTCCTCCCGCAGCAGATTCGTGAAGCCGGGTATCTTGTCGGCGAAGTTTCGGATCACGTCGATGGACGAGGTCAGCAGGTTGTAGAACTGTTGCGTCTTCTCGGCGTCGTCCATCGGCGGATCGTCGCCGTTCAGTATCCGGTACTGCGAATAGTCTAAGCTGGCTGACATCGTGTCCGAATGTGCGCGCAGCAGAGCCTTGATCAAGGGCACCGGCGAGCTAGGCGGCGACTCCTGCGGCGACTTCGGCTTCGAGGGTAACCTGCCCCTTCGACCCTTCAGCGAGTCCGTCCTGACCACCTGCGGAACGAACAAACCCGTTCAATCCTTTCTGTTTCCTTTCTGGAAATCCCTGAATAATTTATCTTTCATCAGCGGCCGGTGAATTAAAGATAACCGGCCGCCTAGCTTCGCAGACAGATTTGTTAGCGGCTAGCTCGACCGATAGATTTCTCTAAAGATAACCGAATCGAGCGACTACTAGGGAATTGAAGACGGGCAGACCGACGCCGCGTTTTGTTTTTGCTGCGGGGCTCTGCTGAATTTTCAACGGTCCTCATGAATCTAGACGAGTCCGCGGGACGAAGATCCCACTCGATGGCTGAACAACCATCCAACTTCGACGAAGAGTAAGGACATTGCAGAGAGCAGAGACGGGATCAAGTGTATTGCAAGTGTAATCGAACCTCTGCGAGGTAGGTTCGAACCCAGTATAAGTACTTTCGCGAAGAAAACTGTTACAGTATACGAAGTTGCAGAAAGTGCTACTTGTAAAAGGTTCGAATCTTCGTAACATCGAAGCACTTCTAAGTACCTTTTCGAAAGCTGGAAGTACCAGGGTTCGATATCTACTTGTATGGAACGAATACATTTCAAGTATAATCATCGAGACGCTATTGCTTTCGGCTAGTAATCGAAAACCGCGAAACAAAACTTAGTTATTTGAATTGCCCCAGGTTCGCGAGTCCCAAAATTATGGTACCACCGTGAAATTATGGGTTCCTCGGGTCATTCGAAGCAACTTTTTCCTCGCGCCGGCTGATCTCGCCTCTCATTGGTCACTGTTTCCCGTTAATTCCAGCCAAGCTGGTCTCTCATTGGGCAGCGTTTTTCGTTAATAACTCGCAAACGAAGCCGCGGATTGCATTTTCGCCGAGGGAAAAGTTAGTTCGCATGACCTCAGGAATCCGTTGTTTCCCGGAGGCACCATAACTTTAGGACACCCTGCAGTCCTTGAACGTTTCAAACTGAAGGATGACAAAGGCATGGACTCACCTCCTTGACCATGCCGACCTTCAAGCACTTCTGATAGCGGCAGAATTGGCAGCGGTTCCGCCGGCGTTTGTCCACGGGACAGGCCTTCTCTGCCAGGCAGACGTACTTGGAGCCCTTCTGCACGGTCCTCTTGAAGAATCCCTTGCACCCTTCGCAGGTGCGCACGCCGTAGTGCTGGCAGGCGGCGGTGTCTCCGCAGACGGCGCACAATTGACTTGGACTCGGCGGTGCCCTCTCGTTGCTGGTCCCGCTTCCGGGCGACAGAGAGCTCACGGAGCTTCCGGAGCCGCTGCCGACCCGGGCCTTCGGCGACTCCGTGCTGCTGCTACTGTCGATTAAAACGCAATTCCTTGACACTGCGCCGCGATCCATGCCGCGAACTTTGACCAGATTCTTCGCGGCGACTGGCTATGCCGCGCGGGACACGGAAGCCGCGGACTAACCTTTCGCAGAGGGGTTGCCCGGCAATTATACACAAACACCGCCGCAAAAACGGCGGAAAAACGTGTTGCGACGAATCCCGGCTAAATGATTTGCAAAACAGTGCCGAGTAACTAATTAAATCGCGGATTCGCGGAAATCGACAGCGTACTTGACGTAGGCAACGATTAATCACGCGACGCGACAGGCGCGAACAGCTGCCAGACGCGACAACATAAAACGAGGCGCGAGCCTTGTAATTAAACCGTTCTCGGTAAGCCGTTTAATTCCGGCCGATCTCGGGGCGATCGCGTCTAACGAAACCTTAATAACAATAATAATCGAAAATATCGAAGCACAGCCATCGAACTTCGCGCACCCCGTAGAATCGTCCGCGAGAATCGCGAGCCGTATCGCATCAAGTATCCGTGGATTACCTCGTGGACTCTAGCCTCTGCGTNTCGCCGAGGGAAAAGTTAGTTCGCATGACCTCAGGAATCCGTTGTTTCCCGGAGGCACCATAACTTTAGGACACCCTGCAGTCCTTGAACGTTTCAAACTGAAGGATGACAAAGGCATGGACTCACCTCCTTGACCATGCCGACCTTCAAGCACTTCTGATAGCGGCAGAATTGGCAGCGGTTCCGCCGGCGTTTGTCCACGGGACAGGCCTTCTCTGCCAGGCAGACGTACTTGGAGCCCTTCTGCACGGTCCTCTTGAAGAATCCCTTGCACCCTTCGCAGGTGCGCACGCCGTAGTGCTGGCAGGCGGCGGTGTCTCCGCAGACGGCGCACAATTGACTTGGACTCGGCGGTGCCCTCTCGTTGCTGGTCCCGCTTCCGGGCGACAGAGAGCTCACGGAGCTTCCGGAGCCGCTGCCGACCCGGGCCTTCGGCGACTCCGTGCTGCTGCTACTGTCGATTAAAACGCAATTCCTTGACACTGCGCCGCGATCCATGCCGCGAACTTTGACCAGATTCTTCGCGGCGACTGGCTATGCCGCGCGGGACACGGAAGCCGCGGACTAACCTTTCGCAGAGGGGTTGCCCGGCAATTATACACAAACACCGCCGCAAAAACGGCGGAAAAACGTGTTGCGACGAATCCCGGCTAAATGATTTGCAAAACAGTGCCGAGTAACTAATTAAATCGCGGATTCGCGGAAATCGACAGCGTACTTGACGTAGGCAACGATTAATCACGCGACGCGACAGGCGCGAACAGCTGCCAGACGCGACAACATAAAACGAGGCGCGAGCCTTGTAATTAAACCGTTCTCGGTAAGCCGTTTAATTCCGGCCGATCTCGGGGCGATCGCGTCTAACGAAACCTTAATAACAATAATAATCGAAAATATCGAAGCACAGCCATCGAACTTCGCGCACCCCGTAGAATCGTCCGCGAGAATCGCGAGCCGTATCGCATCAAGTATCCGTGGATTACCTCGTGGACTCTAGCCTCTGCGTGGGAAGCGACGCTCTCCGTGACCGGGACGTCCCGACGACGACGTTGTCGACGTTGGGGCAGAGTTCTGTGGGTGCTACGGGTGTCGCGCCGCCGGTGATGGCAGGCGGTGGACCGTACACCATGGGCACGCTGACCGCAGCCCCGTACGGCGAGTCCTGCCGATGGTTCGCCGGCGACGGGACAGCAGTCGTCGGTGTGGGGGCGGTTTCGGTGGCGAAGTAGCCCTGATGGTGATGGTGGTGTTGCTGCTGGGGAGGCTGCGGCTGCTGGGGATGATGGTGGTGGTGATGGTGCACCGCGCCAGGCTGCTGGGGCTGCTGTTGATGATCGTGGTAAGGGATCGTCGGCGAGAATTCCGTGGGATAGTGTCCGGTGGCGCAGGGGTACACCGGATTGTCGTAGCACTCGTCGTCCATCTTTATGCCGAGGACCTGGAGCTCTTGTCTGGTGTACCGCGGGGCCGTGTAAGTCTCTTGGAAGCTCGGCAGGGGCGTTGAGCTGCGTCAGATCGGTCGGGATTAAGGGAGACCGTGCGGGTCATGGTATACCGAAAGGGGTGAAAAGAACGATTGGTACCTAAGCGAGTCCGCTTGCACATCTTCTGGAAGCGGCGGCGCGGTCTGAGGTGGCTGAAGCGGTTGCTGATGGTGCACTGCTGCCTGAGGCTGCGCCGATTCGTCAGCTGTGGGCACTCCTTGAGGGTTGCCGAGCTGCAGCTCCGGGAACGGGTCCAGCTCTTCCGGCAGGCTGCCCGCGTCCGATGGGTCCGTGTACGACACGCTTAACAGGTCCGCCAGAGTACCACATCCGAAAGGACTCTGCAAGAAGATGGCCAGCCTTGCGTCAGACGTTGCGCGACCGGCTACACTGAATCCAGGATTTTCGGACGAACTATTGGGACGAAGGATCGGGGTTAGGTCAAGGAACAGTGACCACTTTGCGTAGCCGATCGTGAAGATGGCCGAGCACCGTGTGACTCGATAAAAAGACCGACGCAGTGGTCGCTATCAGAGGAAGCAAACTAATCGCTTTTCTGATACCGCGTCGGAAGGAACTCTGCAAAAAGATCGCGCGGACTACCTAGTACTCCAAGTGTTACCAAGTGCAATCCAGTGTAACGAAGCAAATCGACAGAGACGGATCAACGACCGATCACGAAGATGACGGATCACTGTATCCTCCGATTAAAGAGCAACCGCGTGGCCGCTATTAGAGCAAGCAAACTATTCACTTCTCTAGGTCCGCGTCGGTGGTCCGCGTACAGCCCGGTCGGCGATGCCGTGCTGGCGGCAAATCGAAGCGCTCGACTGCAAGGCGGTAACATTGTTCGGAATTGCAGCCGGTGGCCGAGGCATCGATGTACAGTTGAGGTGCGCAGTGAGGCCGTCGGAGAGGATTGGCGAGGCGAGCTGCGTATCGCGTGCCGGCTAAGGAGTCTCGGGCGACTGGCTAACAGAAAGCCACGGACGAACAACTAACTTGTGTTCTCGCACTCGAATCCCTTCTAAAACACGCCGGACACGTCGTCGTCCCCGTGCCGTCGTCGGTTCTATTATCCCGAACGTCGCCGGCGCGTGCACTGACATCGGCGAACGTTCCTCCGCGCGGCGCACCGACAATTGTTATAAATAATACCGGTCGCGGAGCCAGGACTATGAATACCCGCGGCTGACATTTCGCGAGAAGATTGTTCGGTTCAGCGGGACATAACGCGATTAGAAGGATCGATGTGGACCAAAGGAGGACATCGAACGAGTCACACACGATTCCGTAAAAATCGTTGACGGTGAAAAAAAAACAAAGCCGGCGGGAAGGAAACAGCGGGGGTGCGGAGGGGCGAAGGAAAAAGACGGCGTCGGGAAGGATGGGAGGATGTCGATCCTCCGGAGAGGAGGCCGGGGGTTGGATATTCAATTTGCCAGGTTGGTTCCGCCGCTGGGCTGACATTTCGTTCATCGCTCCCCCGGGGCCCGGCGATCGAAGCTCCAGCCTTCCGTGGCTCTTCTACGGTCTCTAAACCCGCGGACTCCCGCCCCCCCCTCCTTTCCATCGCCACCCCGCGGAGCTTCCTCGAAGCAATTACGACACCTACCCGCTCGAACGGAACCGCTAATTTCATCCGGGGGCCAAGACCAGCTGTTTAATTAGCCGCGACGATAACGCGCACTGACCCCGGAGGAAAAGACAAGTGGGAAAACGGGCATCGCGGCCCGTGGAAGGGATAGAAACAGGTAGGACGACACTCGGGATCCGGGTACGTGGGCAGGAATGCAGATGGTGCGCCGATAAGCGAATGCAGATGACGATCGAGAACGCCGAGACGTAGGAGGGCAGATCTTGTTACAGGTCGGCCGAGGCTCGCGGAGTTCGCGAAGTGCGGATAAGATACTGAAATAGTGAAAGTATCGCGCGCCTCTAAATACGGGATTCGATAATTACCGGCTCGACCAGGCCAGACGGCGCGAATTCCGCTCGGTTAACGCCGGGGTAATCGGTTTTCTAACTGGCACAGGCCGAACCGACTGAGAAAAGTCAACGCATTGTAGTCGAGAAGTGGAAAGGTGGGTCCTTGAAGAATCGGCTCGATAGACGGGGGGGGGGAAGAAAAACGGCTGGCGATGAAGAGGGTGAGCACGATGGAGGATCGATTCGGAGCGAAAGAGACCGAGTGACCTGGTAACCGTCTAAATAGGTACCTAAATTCGAGGAACGCGCTTCTAAGTCCAACAAGTTCATCCTTCTTCTGAAAGAACGATTCGATTCCCTGGCAAACGGAGTCTTTGCTCTGCAAGTGGTCACCGTGAACAAGACGCAGGACAGTGTCCAATGGGAACGGTTGATAGAATACAGGTGGGAGGATCGACTGACCTGTGTCTGCAGAAGAAGCATACTTGACGCTACCGTTAAGGCGGTGGTTGTGGTGGTTGGAGAACTGTGATTCGTGCAGGCGAGAACTGGAACGGTAGCAGTCAGGGACCGCTGCTGCCGCTGGCGATGCGGTTGTGGTTGTTGGTCTACGTCGTTCCTTGTAACAGCCACCGCACGCTGGCTACCGTTGCTGTTATCGCTATCGCCGTTCGGCGAGTGTAGCTGCCCTGCAACAGAAATACGTCACCGTGTAGCGGAGACACGCTCTCGAAAAACAGCGCGCTGCGCGTTCTTCGGATCGGCACTGCACCCCGAACAGTGCCCGCCGAAGCCGGACGATGAATGATACGGAACAATGAATCCTCTCGACAGCAACATCAACAACGAACGTCGCGACAACGACGGCTCCGATATTTTAATTGCGGCGACCGTCGATTCTGGACCGGCGATCGGCGCTGGGATCGTTCAATGGACGACGACCCGCTGTCGATATTCTAAATAACGGCGACCGCTCGTAAATAATGGAACTGGTCCATCAGCAAAGTTGCCGTCGCAACGAAGACGTTCATTGTTCCCGGCGGGACGACACGAATCGCGCTTAGAATGGAGGAAACTTTCTGACGCGCGTCGGACTTGTCCTGAATGCGGCCCGATCGAGAAGCGAAACGGGACCGCGGACAACGACGGGTTGACGAGAAACGGTTGACGGACCAGACAACGGAAGGAATATTTTTCCTCTGCGTACAATATCTGCGGTACTGGGAGTAGCCGGTGTCCATGGTGATCATGTCTGCTTCGGATTCCGAGCGCGAGACCGCGTGGAAGAGGAGCCGCGTCGCGTGAACGATCTTAACGTGGATCGACTAAATTCGGACGACCACCAGGCCCGACCACGGTGGCCTGGCGGCCCCGTGGAATTCGGAAACCACTTTCACCGGTCCGAATTCCTCTGCCGATCGACGCGATGCAGTCCGGAATCACACGGCGATCGGCTTATCAGCGGCCGGAATTCTCGGCGACGACTGAGATCCGCGACGTCGACGGTTCCTCCTATATAGCCGTCGCTCCGACACCCCGGGGAGACATGAAATCATTGGCATTTAAAGCGCCAGCCCTACACACGAACGGCCCCCACACCCCTCGATTATTATTGCGCGATATTATCCCTAACGCCCGGGGGATGATGCGTCGCCGACAGACTAGCGTTCGTTTTATTGCTGCGCGCTGATTACGCTGGAAAAAACCTACCGAAGACAACGAGCGTTTAGGAACGGTGTTCAGCAAGCAACGCATGCTGGAAACGCGCGAAATGCTGTGCAAGTGGAGCGACAGTGTTCGATCTTGTTTAGATCGCATGGAACGTTTAGCTACCGCTGGGAGATTCGAGCCTTGTACGTTCTTCGGGGTGAAAGCTCGAGCATTTGCTGTTTTTAAATGCTGCGAATCGTTCGCGTACCTTTATCCTTTTTTCGGAGATTTTTCTGTGCATTTATGGAGACTTTTTTCTGATCTTCACCCTAACGATTCATCGAGAGTCATGCGTGAGTAGGGTCTTTTATTAGGAAAGAATCTTTTCGGCTACTATTTGTTAACTGCTTTGTTTTTAAGAACGTTTGTTATGTTTAAAATGATGTTGACAGCTTAAAAGTGCCACGATTTCGTTAATCAGCGAATGGTATTCCATTGCAGGCTTAGAGTCGGCTTAGAATCTATTCCAGGCTTATGTCTAGGATCATTTCTGCATGTCTCGTACTCAACAACGTAACACTTGGACACTCGCAGAGTCATAATTCGTATGGGTAATATACTAATCTTACATTAAACGGTCCGATTGGCTCGGTGAGTTAAATGCAGGCGCAGTGATGCACCTTCGTCGCTCAAAGTGCGCAAAATAATTTAATTAAGACACGAAGCTAACTACCACTTTCCGGCATGCCTACCCAGTGGATCTCGATGATGGAACAGACACTGACTCCCCCGCAATTCTTAACTTTTACGTCCCTCGTGTGTCCCGATGGTTTGACAGAAATCTGCTCGCCCACAAGTGAAACCCCTTGCCAACCCTGTGGGTCCCGTTGGTGAAACAACCACCGGTTCGTCGACAACGAAGAAACTCTGAGGAAAATAACGAAAATAACCTCGTGACACGCAACATCTCTGTCGCTATCCTCGCAGCCGGTCCATCCCATCGTCCCCTCTTGTTCGAGCAATGTAAATATCTCGCAGTTCGAAGAGCGATAAATCATGCTCGCAGAGAATATTGCAAAGTGCCGGTAACAGGATCCGAGTAAACCAGATGTCCGCCGGAGCATCGCACCCCTGCCGCGAAGATCGAAATCGCAGATAGTCACGGTCGCGGAAGTCGCGAACGGTTTCGATTTAATTCCGAGGCGGACCAGTCGACAGCGACACGGCGAATTAGAGAGAGAAAGAGAGAGAGAGAGAGAGAGAGAGAGGGACTCCGAAAGGGGGCGAGTGGAAGCCAGGGCCTGAATCGGTCCAGGAAAAATCGTCGCGGGGCCCGCTCTCTCCCACCTCTAACCTTTCCGATTTTTCTCGCAGGGCCTGTGTAACCTGTCGGCGGAGCGGTTAAGGTGGCGGCTGCCAATTAAGACAGCTCGCTCCGAAACAATGAGAGCCCTATCAGACAGCGGTGATCGGCGAATCCGCGGCGCGGGGCCGCGAGTGGTACCGATCCCACCTACGGGAGCGGTTCGCCCGATGAAAGAGTGGTGCACCTGAGCGAGCAGCTCGCACACGTGCACGGAAGGACCCGATTAACTCTAGAACGATAGCCGAGAGCACCGTAGGCAGGGTAAAGGCAGAGGCAGCCTGGGTAGGGTAGCGAACGGAACGGGAAAGAGTAGGGCTAGCTGAACAGCGTGTGCCAAGTGGATTACACCGGTATACACGGCCCTCCCACGAACCACGCCTCTCCACGTGCCACCACGTGCGTCCACGCCGCTCCGCGCCACTCCGCTCCGCTCGACTCCGCTCCGACAACAAGCCACGCTTCTTCCTCCACGATTTACTCTCATGAATTAACCACTCGGCCCCCCTACCCAGGGACCCTTCCGCTGCCTCCGGCGTGCGTGCACGATCCTCTCTGCACGAGAGATAACGGGCCCGGGCCCGGGACCCCTCGTCTCGACGACTACATCGCGATCGATCCCATTGCAAGCTCCGACACGCTCGCCTCGGACGCTTGTCCATTAATCGACTGCATCGGCGACGAGCAAACTTTCACATGCAGTGGACCATAATTAAAAAGCTAATTTAGGCCGGTCGCCAATTGTTTTCGAACGGAGAAACGCGACGGCCGGACGCCGGCTAACCGCGGACGGGCCTCGTGCGGCCCATAGACAGGATTGCTCGTCATTGTACTACACAGTGAGATTTAATTCGTCCGTTATCAATGTTGTAAAACGAGAATCTACATATTCGAACGTGCACTCCAATTATTTGGACGCGAAGTTGCAAGTAGCGATGGCAATCGAAATTACTTGGCAGATGGAAAAACATTTCCTCGAAGACGGTTTCACGCTGTTGCAGTTAAGACGGTGATTAGATGCAGCTACAAACTATTTAGAGGATGCGACAATCATTATCTAAATTCATCCACAGGCAGATAGGACAACGTCGAGCTGACAGACTAGAGAAATCATTGGATAGAGTAAGGAACGAGAGCGATCGTCTCGCGACAAAACGCGGGATCTTGCATTTGTAAGCGAAACCGCGATGCTGTTAATTCCGATAGCTCATTAATCGCAAGGAGCTTCTCAAAATATTTCGATATTCGGCAAGCAAGTCCCTTTTAGATACAGATCCGCTTCGCATCAGATGCATTTTCCATAGATATCCATTTTGCGTCAGGCTTATTTTAGTTACAGATCCATTTTGAATCTGGCCCATCTTAGATACGCGTCCATTTTGAATCTGGTCCATTTTAGACACAGATATATTTTTCATATGAGTCTGCTTTGGACGCGGATCCCCCGATTTCTGGCGTACCGGACCTCCGTAACCCTTTCTACCACGATCACTTTCGTAGTCGCATCGGTCAGTAAAGTAAATTCTTCCTAATTTTTCTTATAAACGAAACTGGACAATTTTGAAAGAGAAGATACGACTATTCGAGCCTTGCAGCTCGTTTTTACAATTGTTGACAGTCGGTGATTATGAAAATGAGGCGCGAGGCTCGAACGATCGTATCACTGTCTACAAGCTGAAGAAAAATTAGGGAGAATTTATTGTATTTCTGTATTGCAAATAAATTTTCTACCTGATGAACAAAGTGTACATTTGTCGTATGAGCACATTAATTTTCGTTCGATGATTTCGTGCATAATTTACTGAACATGAACGTTATTCTTCCGTGAAGCCACAGGAACATTAATAAGGACGAAGCAGTGCTTATTAATAAAATTATCGTGAATAATATTAGCGGATTAGAAGAAGCGTATTATACGTTAATGGCACGTTATTATAATGCATTCATCGTTCCCTTCCTTTGAATCGTTGCATCGCAGATTAATTAGCCTCCTAGAAGTGCTCTTAGTTCGGATGCAGTCCACAGATACGAGACTATAGTACGCGAGGTGAATGACGCGTGCATCGATGCTAACTGCAGGCACCACTCAGGCGATTATCTCGAACGGCAACGTATCGAGCCATCGAGCCCTGGCTAAGCTAAATCGAAATCTCGGAAGATCCTGATCAGCTAGAACCTTCTTCTTTCCATTCCTAGCCGTAGGACCACTTCGCGCGGGCCTCTCGCAGCTAATTGACACAGCTGAGCCCCTCGTCGACGGCGTTTAGAAACGCGTTTGCAAGCCCGAGGGCCTGGCGATGACGTAGCCGAAGAAAACGAGTCTATAAATAGCGGTTTCCATCGGCAGCCTGTTTTTCCGTGGAAACGTTACAAGAAGGATAAAGACACCCGCGCCGATCGCTTGAATAATTCATGAAGGATATCAATTATAAGCTCGCAGCCGCGGCGAGAACACACGCGGTCGTCGCAATCCCCGGGCTGATTTATTGGAATCCCATGCCTAATTGTGCTGGCTAAACGGACGATGCCACCTCGGTGTCTCCGTCTGACGTCAGCTCTGTTCTTTCGAAGTGCCGAAAGTGGGTCGTCCCGCCGCGGCGCGCCGGCGAAAATCCGCGCGAACGGTTCCGCGTGGCTCTGACAACTGTTACGCGGGCTCGCCGCGATACCGTCGTT